TTGAAATGACATTTCTGTTGTATTGACAGAATGGGTTGTTACACTCATTTTGTCATGTCAGAAGGCCCCATACTAGTTGGAAGTATTGTTAACCAGTATTGATAAATTTGCTAAGAATAAAAGTTATCTGGATCAACGTTTCACTTGAATAACAACTTGCCATTTCTGGTTTTCTTTCTTGTTAGAGACCTCTGTGGCGATTAATAGGTCAGGAGGTTTACAATGACTGTTCAATTTAAAACTCTAATTTTACTATTACAAGCATTAAGATCATAGGGAATACTTAAATATGACCACAGTTTTTTAAACAGACAGGGGTTGTGGACTATGGCTGTATAGTCGCTCTTGGCAGTGCTGACTGATTTTCAAATGAGGCACATGTATCTCACCTTTGTGGAAAAAGAAAGATCGCACGGTGTGCTTACCATGTACTGAGGAACTATGGCATGGATTTTTATACAGAATTTCTCACTGCATTCTCTAAAATCATGCTATTTTTCTGTAGGTACTGATTTCAATCAAAAGAGAAGTGACATTTGTTCTCTGTTTTTATTAATCAGTAGCAAAGTACACATGAACACAGAACTAGTATTCTAGCAACTTTTCAGTTATTCCTTCTGCCATTGACTCCTAACTGACGTTTTCTGCAGCCATAGCTCTCAATAAGAGCAACAGGTATTCTAGCACAAAAAAGAAAAAGATTTTAACATCCAAACCTTGCACTGATTGGTTCAAAATTGCATAGCACATGGAATCTTGTTGACATCATGCAATCATACTGTGTCTTCCACATTTTTAAACTTGCTCAAAAGAGGACTTGGAGCTCTGAATCAGCGCTGTAGGAAGAGGGTACGTGATTATTAGGGAGGATATTTGATTTATCTTTGGAATAGTTTTGCACACTACTTTTGCTCACGCAGAAAGAAAATCTCCATTCATACAACTGTATTCAACAACTTTATTTATGTAGCAAAATCTCTTTTTATGTAATCATGGACTCATCTGCATTGGGAAAAATCTTCAAGATCATCTAGTCCCCCGATCACCTAACTCTGTGAAGTCCACCATTAAATGACATCCCTAAACACTACATCAACATATCCCTATTTTTAAGGGATGTGAACTCTACCACTTCCCTGGACAGCCCATTCCAATGCATAACCATCCTTTCTGTTTAGAAATATCTGATCTAATCCTTCCCTGTTGCAACTTAAGGCTGTTGCCTCACGTTCTATCACCTCTTTTCAAGTAGATGTAGAAAGCTATGTGGTATCCCTTGAACCTCCTCTTCTCCAAGCTAAACAACCACAGTTCCTTCATCCTCTCCTCATAAGCCTAGGTTTCCAGTACCTTCACTGGAAAGTGTTTTTCTTCTCTGCAAGTGCTCAAGTAACTCAATATCTTTCTTGTAGTGAGAGGCCCAAAATGGCAAAATAGACAACAAAATGAATTGCTGTCTTTGCAGAGAAAGACTATGGAATGCTGTTAAGCAGAAATCAAAGTTCAGTGTAAGTAAGTGAATTGTTCCAAGCTGATCATATGCTTATTAGCTTCTTAATTGTTATGGACTTGATAGATTTGCTGTAGGAAGTAACCTGAAATGTATATCCAGGAGCTAAGAATAAATTGTTGCAATGGTACTTTCTGGCCTTTAAATCTGTGAGTGGACATGCTGCTGCTGTTTGCCTATTTTGGACTGAAGTGATTGACTTTCCACTTCATTAAATTTCCCAGCTTGAATGTATTTCCTAGCTCTTTCCAAAGTGCATTTTTATTTTATAGGAAATTGTACAGTGCACTCAAGATTGTTTGGAAAAATACATTGTTAGTACAAATTTAGCACTAGAAATATGAGGCAACACATTTTTGAAGGCCTTTAAGCTGATATACATACATCCACTTGTAGCTCTGCAAGCTTTTGCTTGTTTGCCCATTGTTTTTAAGCTGTCTTTATATTTATGTATGCCTGTGTACACAGATGTGAATTTCCTTTAGAATCTACTAAAGTAATAATAATTTTCCAAAGATGAACTATGTGAGGATTTGGCAGATCTAATCTATGGCATCAGAGTGTGCTAATTGACACAAATCTTTATTTGGTGGCTTTATGTCACCTTTTTATCTTAATTGTTTGGAACTGATGAGTGCGCAGGACAGTTAAGTAGTCAAATATATTGAAAGAATTCATAGGTCTTGTTAAGCTCCACCGTTTGGATTGAGTCACTTAAAATTTACTGGCGTGAAAGAAGTCGAAGCTTGACAAGTTTAAAAAGGAGGTGTTACATTAACTTGGCTTGGGAATTTAAAAATAGATCTCATGTCTTGCAAATTACAGATCTCCGATTCCAGGAATTATATTGCACTGTAAAAATGCATTGTTGAAAAAAAGTAATAAATGAAGAAAACTCAGATCTGTCTTCTAAGATCTTGAAGCAGCAAAACTCTGTTTCACCAGTACATGGGAGTTTGCATTCATAAGCTAATTTATTCCTGCTACCATCAATGACAGGATAAAAATAATACTGGGAGAGTGTGTTTTTCTGCATTCCCAACTTTTGTTCTTGCAAAGCAATAGAAATAATTCAAAATTGTTTTTTACGTAACTGTGTAAATTCAGTACCCTGTGGGAATCAACTACAATGATATAGTAGGATAGGCTCAAGTCAGTGCGAAGAAGTAGATCTTGCAAGGCTAAACGATATTTTCAAGCCTTTTTTACACTGTTAAAAACTGATTAAAAGTTGTCTCTTTAAATATAGAAATGACTGTGTGTGTTTTCCTCAAAATATATTCATATTTTATGTGCATTTTGTGCAATACTCATCTAGCATTCATTATGAACTTCTTAAATCAGTCATATTGTAAGGCCAGTAATAATTCCATTATCTGTCAGACTGTGTGATGTTTCCCAAAAATCCATAATTGCTGTCGTCATAATCAGAGCCAGTTGTTTAAATGCTCAGTTGTGAGTATCTAGTGAGATAGCTTTAAATAACAAGATAAACAGTGCAGCTGCCAACCCAAAGTAATCTTACACTGAGGGGGCGTGTGGCACAGAAAATTTCCTCTTTGTCATCTTGATTTGAGTTTGAAGCTGGACCTGGGCTTAGTTCCAGCTCAAAAAACTGTTCACTTCAAAGGCTCCTAAATCGTCCCAAGGAGCTAATTTTGGCAGCCAATTGTTTTTGTTTGGCCAGGCATCCTAATAGCAAAAGCCGTCTGCTCCAGCAATTGAAGACTTCTTCAGTGCTCAGAGTCACCATTCCTGATTTTATCCTGATGTAGGGGGTGTACACCAGTTTCCCTGTCTCACCCCAATTTCTCTGCTTTCTTTTTCCTTCCCAAATTGTTAAGCCAGAGCTTAACTCTCCTGAATGTAAATAGGACTATGTTTCCCATTTTCAAAAGAAAGGATAGTCTAGTCTGCTCTGAATTGTCTGAATGGACAATTTTTTCCTGCATTATGAAGGTACTTGTGATGCCAAACACACAATGAAAATTGAAATTCTGTGCCATTCTCAATTATAATATATGAAAATATGAAAATATGCTAATAGGCAGTTTCTGTCGGGTAAGAAGCTGGGAGTTGCAATTCATTAAATGATATCACAGAGGAAGTATTTCATTTTGAATGTACATATCTACCTTTCTGCTTTAAGATTTATGCTCTAGAGTGTTGAAGGAATCATACCAAATAAATTTAATTATCTGATGTAAGAAAAGATGTGGCCATGGTGTGGAAGTATGAAGTGCAGGAGGTGAAACTTAGGTGCTCCAAGTTAGCATAGAACTTACCAGAAGTCATAGTCGCTTTGCCTGCTTATGGAGAATCAACTGAACTGTGGGCTGTGAAGTAAATATAAATTATCCAAGGAATTATTATTCTACTTCACATCACCTTTCAGAAAACAAATGTTATTATTTTGTTTTTGAGAGAAAACCAAGCCTTTCAAATTGCAAAATGTGTTGTGAAGCTGTACATTTTGGCTTGTCCCCAGACTGTTTGTGAAGACTCATTGCATTTCTGTAAAAGCTTTTCACGAACATCATTTTTGCAGTGAAAAGTTTTCTCTTCAAAGTTAACCATTAGAGCCTGGGAAGCTGATAACTCCTCTTTGGCATGTTACTGCCTGAAAAGAAAAAAGATTTTAACAAACAAGTATTTGCCATGGCTGATAATATTCTTAGTATTTCAGATACCTTTTTTAGAAATGTTTTGATGATTCTAAATGTGTGGTCTTGCTACAGGTGTTAATTAGTAAGTAGCTCAATCAGAATAATGTTTAGAATACCTAGTTTATTTGGCTTTCTTTTTTGTCAGTTGTGTTTTTATTTTACTCCAAGGTTCACTTTCACTTCTCTTATTCAATGTGGATTTGTAAACATCTGCATTTTAAAAAATTCAGTGCAAGAATGAAAAATTTTCTTGAAAAAAAAAGTGCTCAAAAATCATCCTGCTTGTATTCTTTGCCACAATTCCATAGTCAATTTACTGGTTAATTTGATAACACTCATATTTGTATAATACACATCATTTTTTTATTCTCTCTCATGCAGCTGATTTTATACCCATATTCGAAGTTTAAACAAGATAAAAAAAGTTTAAAAATGGCAAAAAATAACCTGCTCTCTTTATCTTACCTGCTTCCCACAGAGGAGAATAGAATTTTGTAAACCATGAGTCATAAACGACAGTAAAATCTGTCTTGTGAGCCTGGAAATCTTTGCAATACCTATTGTTACACAGAACTATATTTTAGATACATATTTTCTCACAACTGTATCAACAGATTATTGTTTTCTTCTCCAAACTAACGTACATGTTATATTAAAATGTGCATTTTGTATGCACATCATTTTTTGTAATTCATATTCTAATTTATGTAAAGAAATTTAAGTAGAAGAGAATATTTAGTATTCTAAAGTACTGTGAGAAGTAAAAGGTGTAGACATGAAAACTAAATTTAACATTCCTTTTTGTCTCTCTCTTATTTCTTTAGGACTTTCAAACTGTGTTACCATCGATTGTTCTCTTCGAGAAGTTTGGAAAAACTTACTCAAAAGCTGGACAAATAGTGTAATCATTCTGTAAACTATGCAATGTAAGACACTTGATAAGTAATCAATAAATGTAATACAGCAAATGCACAGCAGTATGTTGACTGAATGTCCCATAAATTACCTTTTTGTAAAGTGATGTATACTATGTCTCAGATACTGTTAATTGATTTTGCTTGATATTTAAGCAATACAGCTTTCAACATTAATCAAAGGTGGGGGTTTTTTTGTGCAAGCTTTTGAAAAAGAAGTCAGTATTATCTTAGGAAAATTGAATGACACTTAGAAACTATTTCTGAACATGCTTTTATTTAAATGCAAATTATTTATGATACAAAGCTAGAGAAATCAAGTAAAAGACTCCAAAACACACTTATTAGGGGTTTGCAAGTGAAGCTAGCTCTAAAAAAGAGAAAAATTAAGAAAAGTTAAAATAAAAAAAAAGTTAAGTCTATTTTTTTTTCTTTCAACTACAGATATACCCGTTTCATCATTGTTCTTCATCATTTTCTCTATTAATCTACATCCTTTTTGAAATCCATCTTTTCAGAGGGACAGTGGAATTAGGTAGGCTGTTTAAATATAAGATGCTATTTTAAAATATTTTGAGTCCTCTGTGGGTGATATAACTTTACTGTTGAATAATGAAAGTTCTATCAGCTCCATATATACCTTATTCTTAAATCACTTTTTCTATATCTACTTAATTTTCTTTGTCAATGTCCTGTGTTAAGCAGCATTTTACATAGTAACGTATTTGTGTGATGTTTATCAAAGAACATATGTGATCTCAAAACTGGAATTAGACTGCTGTGTTTTCTAGCATGCAATTCAACTGCAAAATTAGAATATCTTCAAAGCTCATTAATTTCTAAAGACTCCAAGAAGTTCAGCATTTTGTCAAGACCAGATCGTAAATTCAAAGTGCACAAGTGAGTTTTTACAGGAGTTTTCAGTTACCACACTCTCTCTTCAGTTCATTTGAATGTGTTTGAATCAAGTAGTATTTTATCAGATAGTATTTGATTATAGTGTTTGAATCAGATATTCAGTGATAGGCTTTTTATTACTGAATTTTGTTTTATTATTTTCTTGTCCTCTCCAAGTGTTCAGGAAAACTCTATAGGATGTAGGTTTATGTAAACATGTCTGAGCACTTTCTGAACTAGGATTCACAAATTTCACTTCTATAAGATTTTAGCTGTTTGCCACTGTGGAAAAGTTCTAGAGCTACGCAAGAGTGAAAGCTCTTTCAGTTCCACTGCAGTAGGTTATGAGTTTAAGTATTGGCTGTAGTGTTGCTACTTTTTGGAATTTGTGATTTTCAAGGTTTGAAAAGTTTCTTGTTCTACATGGAAATGAGAAATTCATTCTGAAAAGTGAGAAGGAGACACCTCAGTGGGTGAGTCTCCCCATTAAGATTTAATCTCATCAAATGTATTCAGAGTGCTTTAGTCATTTATAGAGGGGATTGAGCATAATACATTTTTGCAAAACTGTTGATAAATAAAGATGCCACAGTAATTTTTAGATATGAGAGCTATCTATTTGATTGCTTCAGCTTTAAGGTAGTTCATCACTTCAGAGAAATTCACCCTGTGTTACCTTTTTAACTCCATACCACAGTTTCCCATCAGTTCGATTAGAAATGGCAATGCCTTTATCAGATTAGTCTTTCTTTCTCTTTCTTCCTTTCAGTATCTCTGACCCCAGGACAAAACAAAGCTTGCCATGCAGATGAGCACTGGAATAGCAGTAGTGCTCCATAACAAAGGGTCTGCAGCACAAATGAAGGTTGAAACCTTCTTATTTTAATTGTCTGACTAATGCATATATATATATAACCCAAGAAGTATAGGTGCATAAATAAATATATTTGCCTCCTCTTAACAAACAATGAAACAAGTGAAAAAGCGAAACAACACAAAAGGAAAAAAAAAAAAAAATTAGTTTCTAATTAACTAGGTACTTCTCACAAGCCTCTTTACACTGTTCAATTCACTTTTATTGATAGATAAGCATTTCTCCCTCCTTCCTTCCCTTCCTAACTTCCTCCCTCTGTTACTGAATAGTGTGTACTTTAGAGGAAATTTTTCTGTTTTATAGGGGATGTTGCAACCTCTTCTCACAGTTCAGTCTTACAAACATAGGATGGCTATAGATGGAGGCACAGGGAAAGGAACTGAAAATCTGAAGTGAACTCATGAATCCGAAAGATATATAGTTCCCTAGAAATCTAGTGGGATATGATAATTGACAGACTACTCACAGCAGTATCCAAAAATCAAAAGAATCACTGCAATGCCAGGGAAGTAGATGACTATAATTTGTAAGTCCTTAAGGGAAAAAAAAATTAAAAAAAAAAAAAGAAGGAAAGAAGGACAAAAAATACAAAAAAAACCCAACCAACTCTAATTGCCTCATCGTCAGCATGAAGCTAGAAATGCACAATCCTTGCTTCTCAGACGTGGAAACACAAATGTTTTGTTGTCATTTGCACTGATTGAATCCACTTGCATAGAAGAGAAAAACACTGTTGGGCATTTTCATATTGTATGGCTAAAGAGGCTTATCAAATATCTTCAGGAAGCAGCAGATACTAGGAAGAACCTGTAATAGCATCTTGCTAGCAGAATGTTACTATGCCACTTGTCTAATGCATAAAAAGATTGTAACTTAATACTTTGACACTCAGTGCTACCTGTTCACCTTAAATACGTCATAGATCTTGACAGAGTCAAACAATAATTTTATTTATTCCTGTACCACATACACTGGCCTACATTCCATGTATTAAAGATTCAAACCATTTATGCTAATAATCTTTGGGTTTAACCACTAGTGGGGATCGCTGCACTTATAAAAAGGATTCAGGCAAAGTCATTAAAATGGAATATTTTTCTGCTGCAAGTTGCTCACAGGATCTCATGTTATGAGAATTTTCTGGGATACTTGAAATGTCTGGTAACATTTCTTCTCAAAGAATCTATCTGCTGTTATCCTGTGGATTAAAGATCTTTTGGTGTTGCTGCCCAATAATTTTGTTTGAGTCCTATGTAAATGATGTCATTAACACAGAATATCTCTTAATTTAAGCAATCTAAGGGCTGTCTTCTGGGCTGATCCAAGATGCTCTCAACACTCCTCATAGAAAATATTTAGCTTGTAATGCCCTCTAGAGGCAGAATTACAATAGTAGTGTTGACTACATTTTGATTTACTCTGTAAACAATTTTCTGGTCCAAATTTGATACTGAAGCTTTCAAGCAAAAGGGCATTTTTTGGTTGGTTAGTTGTTGTTTAAAATAAGCCACACTTCAAATTGTACGAAAGAGGTCTGATGGTAGGAGCACTGTAAGTGATCTAGGTCCTTCATTCTGGATTTATAGTGAAGGCTGTGTTCAGCTGAGCTGTGACCACATTTTAACTGCAAAGTAAAATAATGATGCTTGTGAACAACAGCACAGTTTGACATACCAATGCTGAACACTGTATAAAGCTCTGAGAAAAAAAAAAAAATCAAATGTCAAAAATATTTCCAAGAGATTACTGGCATTCCAAAAGATGTGCTTGCAACGTGTACTTGATAAGTCAATGGTCCTCAATTTAATGAATTCCATACGTGCTGCATAGAGTAGTGTTAGGAGGATGAGAAGCTTTGACTCTTATGGACAGTCATAGGATCCTGTATTCAGAAAAGCAGAAACCAAAAAGCAGAGAAAGTACATAACTCCTTAACTATAAAATTTGGGTATTGAAGCAGAAATTCTACAAACATAAAGGAGTCACACTCTTGTCATCAGAAAGAGAATTTGGACCTTGGAGCTTAATTTGTCTTCACTGCTTCCTTAATACATTTTTTTTAATTTGCTTTCTTTTACTAGTTGACAAAGTTTTCTGACAATTCTGGAAAAATGTCAGCAAAGAATATCAGACATTGCAAAGCTGGCTTGGCTTCATATTCCTCCATCTTTTAATAGTTCAGTTCATTAATGAGAAAATCATCTGGCTGCTGGCACAATCAGATACAGTCACTTATCAGTACATTGAGTTCAGTTTATAGTACTCTGATTCATATTCATGATCAGAGGATGCAGTGGAGCAATTCATTAGTGCACTGCTGCATTAAGCAATCACTGCCAAAATGTGACATATTGAGAGTTTGCATTAAACTGCTTCCTTTGAGGATCTTTTGGTTAAGAAATTCCTAAGCATGGAAATCTGTTGAGATAAACCATTCAGGCACTTCAAGAAAAAAGCTTTGATGCTCCATGTATATAATGGTTGGTTAAAAAAAATATAAAACAGCACTGGCCGGTGCTGTTGTATGTGTGGCATGGTAGCGTTCTCACATGTAAGTTGAGAGTACTGTGATAGCCAGTAATGCACATAGACTAGATTAGTATTGTCCCAAACTGAACTCTCATATCTCTTTACTACTTTATGCTGCTTAATGAATCTTAATATTGCTTTTGTTTTGGGTGAGACTGTTCAACAACATAAAAAAGAACCTAACCATCTACATATGTATCAGTGGTTACTGTACAAATAAGGGGCACTTGCAATTACAGGCTGTGTGTTCTCATATCATGAGAACTATCTTTAAAGGACAGTGTTTGCCAGTTATTAAGACATGCTTCTTGTGAAAAGAAGATGAGAACAGGTTTAGTTGCCTTTTTACTTTTTCTCCATACATTTGTGGCATGATGTGGTGGTAATTCCTCATCCACATGCTTCATTTGATTCCACCATATCATTTTCTAGTAACAACAGTTGTTCTTCCAGTTTATTGCCACTTCATTAGATTTATAGTCTAACCTACTCTGGTGGAGAGGTAGATAAAGGAAGAACTGTAGACTTTAATCATTTGCACATAAGGAAAACAAGTGCTAAACTTTCTTTTAATATACTCTTAAAGTAGCTTCTCTCTCTTGAACAGGATCATTCTCTCTCTTGAGCAGGATCATTCTCAGATTTTCTTTCTGATATTGCTGATATTTTGGCCAAAATCTAGGGAAGTGAATCACTGCCTTGGTGGATGCAAAACCAATATGAAACAGACTGTCCATACTTTACATTTTTGCAGCTATAACCATCTCACACATGCCTACTAGTTTTGAACAAAATTATGCAGCCAGTTGTGTTTCAGACCCTGGCCAAACAGACTGATGTGGTCTCTTGTTACTTCAGAAGATATTTCCTGACTTCATTTTGCCCAATTTTCAAAGCAATGTGCCAGGTACATTAGATTCCTGAGTTTCTGCTAGGAATCATTCACCCTCCTGCATTTTTCCATGCTTTTATTTTATCCTCTTTTATTTTTCCATTTTCAGAGCAACATAGCATATCTATAGTTTATACTAATGATGGCATTAAAAAAAAATACTTAAACATTTGTTGGGAATAAAAATCTCAAATATTGAAGAAATTTGTGTCTCTTAAAGTTTCTTTCCCTCCTGGGGTACATACTGCTATATTAGTAGATAGATTTCC